CAGTACTGCCCCACGTCATTCACACACCTGAGGCAGACACACAGATATCACAAACACACACACACCTAGCTCTGTTCCACCCACCCAAGACAACCAAACCCAAACTGATGAGAAGGGGGTTAGCACATTCCATTGATTTTAATCCTGGATTATTTTCATTTTATGGCTGGGAATAGCACATATTTGTGGACTTTCAGTTCACTTAAAAATGATCTTTAACTTTCTTAAAACTCAGTTTCCTCTTCTTTGCAATGGGAATAATAATGTATTCCCTGTCTCTGCATTATCACAAGGACCCAGGGAAATAAAGAGGTTTGAAGGTTTATTGCTAAATAAAAGTCATGGGTTATTCATTAGAAACAAAAACAGGCTGGCTGGTTGGCTCAGTTAGTTAGAGCACAGCCTTGTAACACCAAGGTCAAGGGTTCAGATCCCTATACCAGCCAGCCACCAAAAGAATAAAATAAAAATAAAAACTGGGAGTCTGTAACCTTTCTGTGAGTAGATCCCAGGGGTAATGATGATCTCTGATTTAAGTCTGATCTGGGAGGACCACATAACAGATTTTTTTTAATTGTCTCACAGAACATCTTTGGTCTGACAGTAAGTGAATTTCTCTGGGAAATCCAGCCTGTATTATAAAGGGGCAATTCCCAGAATCAGCCTCCTGGTGGCTTCTCCCAGCCCATCTCCAGCTGCTCTTTTTCACTTAGCTTCTACTTCCCTCCTCATTAGCACCTACAGGAGGCAATAACCGGCCCCTGACTAGCAACTCTCCTCAGAGGTGTGGAGAGGAGGCCGACATTGCCCATTACCCACTGTGCATCACCTGACCATCCTGAGCAACTCTTGGCCTTAAAAATATTTTATCTCAAGTGTCTGCAAATGGCCTTTTAGAGGAAGGCACTCCTACTTAATGATTAAGAGCAGGGGCCCCAGAGTCTCCCAGCAATGGCTCAAATTCTGCCACATGCTGTTTGACACTGGTCAGGTTACTTTCCTTCTCTGGGCCACAGTTTCTCTCTTCGTAAAAGGGAGATAGTAACAGTATCTGCCTCATAGGGGTGTTAGATTAACTGAGACAATGCATGTAAAGTTTTGCACAACAACCAAAGTTCAATAAACATTGGCTGTCATCAACCAAGTCCTTATTGCCCAGGTCCAAAAGTTAGAAATGAAGATGTCAGGCCAGGTGGTGAGGGACCTTTATAGGGGTGCAAAGTCCTTTGTAAATGATGGGGGAGTGTACATGGAGGGGTAGGGAAGAGACTGCTCCTCCCTACCGGAGGAATTGTGACTCCATGACACTGCCCCAACCTCACCTTGCCAGTGTTCGTTGAGACACAGTGCCCACAGGTTCTCCTAGATCTGGCTATGTTTCACCTTAGAATAGGGGTTACTAATCTTTTGTTGTAACCACTGATGCCTGATGCAAGGTAAGAATGTTCTCCCCAGAAAAAAATGCATCCACCTACTAATACAACAAATGTGATTTTAAGGTGGTTATGAGGAAGGGGTTCATGGACACCCTGAAACCCATCCGTGAGCTGAATGCAGACTTGGCGATGCAGGCCCCAGTGACATCCCGACCCACCTCCAGTTCTAAAAAAGGAAGTGGTTGGGCTCATGCCCTCAGAGGCCTCAAACAAGATGGTGAAGCTGACTGAGGAAGGGTCAGGAACTCTGAATGCCCACTCTACATTATTATAAATTATAAGGATCCTCACCAGTAGTGCTTCCCACACACCAAGCGTTTTACAAGCAATTGTCTCCTTAAAGCCTCCCCACTCTTCACCATTTGCAGATGTGGAAACCGAATTACTCAAGGCCACTGCACACTTAGAAATGGTTAAAATGGTAAATTTTTTAATGTATATTTACATACACACGCAAACTCAAAGAGAGTAGTCCCCTTATTTACAAATGGGAAACCAGAGAAGTCAAGTGACGTGCCAGGGACACACAGGGTTTGAGGAACCAGAGCCCAGTGTTTCAGGTTCCCATTACGTCCAATCACCGCACAAACCTTTGCAAGTTTTCCAGAAAGGAGTGAACTGGAAAAGTGCACCCTCGTCCCTTTGCCCCATCCCACCCCGGCTGCTCCTCGCTTTCTGGAGGAGGGGCCGGCACTCCAGCAAATTTCTTATTGCCCCGCCCCCCCGGGGTGTCCCTGTCTGGCTGGTCCCCAGATGACCCTTCCGGAGAAGGTCACCGGCCGTCTGATCCCAGACGCGGGAGCTAGGTGACCCGCCCCCAGGCCACGAGGGGCCAGCGGGCGGCCGGTCGCGAAGATTAGCGGATGTGGATTGCGCCCCAGCCCCGGGGAGGGCCGTCTGGCCCCCGCAGACGGAGGGAGGCGCGGGGTGCAGGGGCTGCCCGGGCGGTGGGATGTGCGCTGTGTTCTCTCCTCAGCACGCACCTGTCCACCGCGCTCGGCATGGGCTGCCACGTCTTCGAGGTCACTGCGGTCCTCAAAACCCGCCCCCCTTCAAATTTAGGCCCCGAACCCGCCGTCAACGCGGGACACTTGACACCTTCCCAGCCCGGGCTTGAGGACCCAAAGCAGCCTCAATTCCTTAATCCTGGATCTGTGAGCCCTAATCTTTAACGTTACATGCCTCAGCCTGAGACACTCCCAAGCCAGACCCCGGGTCCCATTTACCCTCACTCTCAAAAACAGCTACAAAACCCCGAACAAAACAATTACGGCAACAATAACGACCCATCATTGCTATGTGCCGGGCTCCCACCTGAGCGTTTTATGTGCGTCGTCACCCAGGCCCCTCCACGGTCTCATAAGGTAAGTACTGTGCTATCGCCCTATTCTACAGGTGCGTAAACTGAGGCACCCAGAGGTCACGGAACTTCCAGACCGCACAGAGGAGAAGCGGCGCGATCAGGCTCCCACCCTCCAGGACTGAGCTCTACACTCCCCCAGCCAAGACCCAGGAGGCGGTGGTCCCAGTCGGGGACATACCCTGGACGCTGGAATCCCCTGCCCCCTCGACCACGGATACTGCCCAGCCACTAACCCTGCGCCCTGAGTCTGCAGGGGCGGACCACCCGGCAGAGCCAGGCCCCGCACGCGCCCCCCAGCCGCCCGCCGGGGCGGGCAGCCTACCTTGCGCCTGCAGGCTGCGGATGATGTCCGCCCGGGGCAGCGGGTCGCGGTAGAGGCTCAGCATGTACGCGAGAGGGGACGGCGACGAGGGCTGTCCCCGCAGACGTAGGGGCGCGGTGGCCACCGTCGCGGCGCCCGCCTGGAGCACGGCCCACCAGGCGTGCAGCAGGAAGATCCGCAGGCGGTGGGCGTGCATGGTGGACTGGCTGGCCCTGAAGGCAGCGCCTCGCCCCTTTTATCCTGGGCCTCCGCAGCCGCCCCGCCTCTGTGCTTCCTCCCACCCGGGAAGCTTTAAGGTCATATAACCCGCCCCCCCGGGGGTGGGGGACAAGAGGGACTCCTGCTGGGGGCGAGTGAGGCCTCAGTCTGGTGGGGAGGAGGGCTTGGATCCAGAGGCCGGGTCTGGGCACCCCAGCACCCTACTCCTCTAGGTCCTAGAGACCTTATTGCTGACGCAGAGCAGGCTCCTCCGGGCAGACTCCCAGGTCGGAATCGTGGCTTCCTTCCTCTGCCTCACCTGGGATCCCTGCCCTTCCTGTCCGTCGGGGCTCCGAATGGATGTCTGACTCATCAAGAAGCAGGGAGGGAATGCTGGGACCCTCGGGCTCTCAGCAGGCTGTGGCCCCACATTGGGATGCTTTGGTCCAGCCTGGCTGGGGGCAGACTTCCTGGACACTGTGGAGGCGGCCTCTGGGAGCACCCCTGGCCTTCTCTGGCAGGAGGGAATGCTGGGACCCTCGGGCTCTCAGCAGGCTGTGGCCCCACATTGGGATGCTTTGGCCCAGCCTGGCTGGGGGCAGACTTCCTGGACACTGTGGAGGCGGCCTCTGGGAGCACCCCTGGCCTTCTCTGGCGGGGCCTGTCTGGAGGGCCAGCCTCTGGGAAACTACTGGGTGTACTGGGGGTTGCTGGACACAGGTGAGCTCAGATGAAGGCTCACAGAGACAAAAACCTGCCTCAAATATTGGAGTGTTTCCTAGGGAAGACAGAGGATGGGAGGGACCAGGAGACTCCTCTGTCTGAAAAGGGAGCGTTCAGCAGAAGCTGGAGCCTGGGGCAGATGAAGGGGGTGATCCTGTAGACGTCCGGCTGTCCTCACCCCAGTGATGGGGGGGAGGTGTTGCCCTTTTTGCCTATGTCACCCATGTCCTGCAGTCCCTGCCTGCTGTAGCAGGACCACAGGAGACCTGTGTTTCAGCTTAGAACCACTCATTCCCATGTCTCAGGGCCTGTTTTCCTTATCTGCACAAGAGTGATCCTTGCCTCCTTTCCAGGTGCAAAGTCAAGTCAGGGCTGGAATTACTTTTAAAGAAATGTAAATCCCTGCCCCAGCGTCAGGCTCCACCTGCTCTCCTCAACTCTGGCTGAGCTCTTTCTCCTCCCATGCTCCCCACCCCCATGTCCTTTTCTAGCCTTGACAAGCACATTAACAGCTGGCTAATTTACTGAACACTTACTATGTGCCAGGCACAGTGCTAAGTGCCTTCCACACCTCAGCTTCTTTCACAGGATGCCTCCGGCTCCAAAGAACATGGACTCAGACCTGAGCAAATGTTAGAAAAAGGAGGGAGGCCCCCACAGGCTTAGCCAGGAGCTCCAAACCTGTGTCCTCCGGGAGGAGCCTGTCCCACCCAGCTGGAAGAGGACTCACATAGGAATCAGGAGACCTGGGTTGCAGACCACCATATGCCCTGGGCAATCTGCACGCCCAGACCAGTTAGTTCCTTAACGCTGGGACTGTCTCGCTCTCCCACAGTACATATCATAGTTGGTATCCAAAGAATCTTAGTTAAGTAAATGCATAAATGAATGGCACTATTTTAGGACTTGCATCGCCTGGGGTGGTTGTTAACTATTGATTCTTGAGTTCCAATTCAGACCTTCAGATTTTGAATTTGGAGAGAGGACTTGGTAATTTACATATTTAACAAACACCCCAGTGATTCTTATCAGATGACTTTGGGAAAACGTGGGTGGGCTAGGGTTCTAGTTGCAGTTTGTAACCTACTTCTCTATGTTGGTTGTTTCCTCATCTGTAAAACATGGCTGGAGATACCTCCTCCCATGCAAATTAAATGAAATCCATGTAAAAATGCTTTGGAAGCTCTAAAACCTGAGTCATTATAAAGGATCATACATACCGGTATTATTAAGGGTGCTCTGTGGTTGTCATCTGACTTCCCTAGCCCGGGGGCTCGCTGGCCAGGGCTTGTCAGCACCAGCCCTCTGCATCACACTGCTACCCAGAGGCAGAAGGCCCCTCCACCCTGGTTAAAAATATATAAGTAAAACAATGATTGATTGTGGTTAGTGGTATGGGAGCCCCAGACCAGAACACAGGCACCAAGAATGGCGACACGAGGGAGGTACAGGAGTCAGCTTCACTGGAGTCAATTCCAGAACCCAGATCTTCCAAATCACCATGTGTCCTAGAATCCAGGGGGTCTCTGTTTAAACAGGGACATTCACCACAGAGCAGCCTTAGCCACCAAGATTGGGGAAGGAACAAAAAGATGGTATATCCAATGCATTTAATGCATCAGGCATTCTGCTAATCATTGCATTGATTTTTTTTATCATCATCCCCTCTTCAGAGATGAGAAAACAAGGTAACTTGCTCGAGGCCACACATTTCCTGGTGGCAACAGCTAGTGTGTGAAGGGTAGGTCTGCTTTTAGCCCCTATCGGTTCCCCATAGATGAGGGGTTAAAAAAATAGGCCTTGTATTAAGGTTTTTTAAAAAGTCCCAAAGTCTTGCCTTTTCCAGGGTCTGGCAGCTGCAGACAGAACTCACTTCTGATGTGTATTGGCCCAGAGCTGTGTGGGGGCCTGGAATTTGTCTGACCAGCTGAGTGACTGTCTGACAAAACCTGTTCATCTCTGCACTTCCTTGGGCTCTGGCACCCCTGAAGAAACCGAATCTCTGTTGCCTCTTCAGGGCGGAGGTTAACAGTCTTCCTTCTTACTTTTTAAGGACATTATTTAGTCCAGGATCTCTTTCCTGCAAGAAAGACCAGAGTGTCCTTTTCCCAGGTGGGGAATGACACCTTCTCACTCCCCTGATGCAGAGGACTGACCGACAGATTACCTGACCTGGGAGATAACCTTTGAAGGCCAATCCAGCTGGTTGGAGGGTGGGGGCAAAGTTCCTGGAAGTTCTCGAATGCTTTCCATTGCAGACCCTGTCTTGGCATGAGCAGCAATGTGTGGCATGGTTAAGTGGTTGGACTCTGAGGTCGGGCCTGCAGGAGGTAGAATCTGGATCTGTCTCTGTCA